TTTTGCTTTGTGCTGACTAGTTTTCTGGGCTTCTTGGTTACCAGAGAACTCAATAGTTGAGTGGGTTAAGGTCTAATGACTGAACGACTGAGTCACGCCTGTTCCATACCCTGGCACCTAAAAAAGTTGCTAAAACACAGGCTAGAATTAGATGAGCTATCAAACTCAAAAAGCATTTATAAAAGTTAAACTGACAAGATAAACACAAGTCTACTGGGATAAAAATATCCATTAAAAATGTCACATAAAAATAATCTTGTTACAACTGTACATGTTACATATATTCATTTACTTGCATCTTTGCATAAAATCAATCCTATAAGAAATTTATAAATGATTAATTTTCACTATGAACAGATGAAAAATGTTGATAACATCTAATCAGTTTTATAGAATTGCTTTACAACTTAAATATAGTTTTCATTTTATTCACACCATGAATCCTTCCAAAGAAAAAGCATATGGTAGAATATCTCCTTCTTGGTAGCCTATGTTGACGATCTTGAGATTGGTTATGGTAACTTTATCTTAAAATAAAACATGAGATTGCATGGAAGCAAACTAATAACTTTTATTAAATATATTAAATTAGTTCCAATTGTTTAAAGAGATTATTAGGTTTTTCCATTTTAGCTTCCAGGAAAGAAATTTGTTTTTTGTAATATTAAAAAACTATCAGAAGCACAATATTTTCATGATGTTTCTATAATATATTTAAGAAAACATTACCACACCATCAACACTATATGGAAAATTGCCAGATAATACTTAATGTGTCATTTTTTGGCTACTTAAACAGGAGGATATCATGTGGTTTAAAATTAGATCATCTTGGTACAAATCGATTTTTATATAAAAAAGACGTTTTTAAATAGATGTTATATGCAAAAAATTATTCTAAGAGTCAAGCTATGCATAAATTGTTATGACACAAAGATTTCCTCCTACCCAATCTCTATTAAACATCTGTATATTAGACTCTGTGTCTTCCTAGAGATTTTCTAAGCATATACAAACAAATGTATATAACTTTAAATACACATGGCAGTATTCCATATACTTTTCTGCATCTTGTCTTTTTCATTTATTAAAATGTCTTATTGACTATTTCAGCTCATCTGACATTATTATTTTTAATAAATGTACCATAAGGTATTCGACTGGATGCTTAATAATGAAATTTTAAATTGTTTCCAAATTTATGCTATTGCAAACAATACTGAAACAAACTTACATATATATAATATACATATTTGTAAAATTTGTGCATTAAATTCCTAGAAGCATAATGAGAAGATTGAAGTTTTGTTTTGGATAAAAGCAGATTATATTCCAAAGATTTGAATTAGTTCACACACAAACCAAAAAAAAGTACACACCCAACGTAGTGTTTTATCAGAATCTTTGCCATTTCTACTCAGCTAGGTTTAAAAAAAAGTTTCATTTCTTTATATATGATAATGGAGGCTGAACAGCTTTTATTAAGTTCGAAAGTCATTTACTACTCCATTTCTGTGTACTGCCTGTCATGGAGTTTATTTAATTATTAGTTTTGTTTCTGTTTTTCATAAGAATGATATTAAAATTTTATGCTTAAATTTTTTTCAAAATTTGTCATGTTTAACAACCGTACTTTTTGCATGGAATTGTTTAAATTTTTTTGTAGTCCATTTTATATGCTTTACATCTCAAAGGATAGCATATCTATCTCTCTTATCATAAAGGATGGGAACTAGGAATATAAATTTCAGTACAATGCTCATGAAAGGCATAAGAAGTGTTAGAAGAACAGTCCTATAGTTTTTCGTTTTAACAAAGTTAATGGGTTGTGAAATCCTTCAGAAAGAATATTTCACATCTGTGCCTACAATAAATGTAACCATCCTTGTTAGGGAAGGAGAAAAAGGAAAGGATTTTCAACAGTACCTAAAAGAATTATCTTCAGAGAGAAAGCAAATGAAGAGAATATGGAAAGTTTTGTAAATGATAATTAATATATTCAGGAGGGATATATTCTGTATAAACTACTAATCACAAGAGCATCTTATGATCTTCCTATTCTAATAACATAACTTTTCATTATATGTGATAGAACATGAATATCCATATCAGCCTAACTTTTTCTGTATTGCAAATTATTATTTACAAAACATGCTGCTCTGTGTGTGTGCAAGTGTGTGCATGCGTGTGTATGTACAGCACAGTTTGTATATGCATACATACACAGAGTACACATACTATGCTCTGCCTTATCTTGGTTGTGCTTCTGATAATATATTTGGACATATTTCCATGTGAAATCATATAGACCTACCAAATATTTTGGKTTTTTTTAGATTATCTATGATTTCACCACTGGATGAACCATAATTATACAACCAAATCCTAATCAATGGTTTCAGAATTGTTTTCACATTTAGTATATTAGAATCAATCCTACTGAACATCTTTGACACATATTTTTGACATAGTTTTTTGTTTGTTTTGATATTGGGGATTTAACCCAGGGTGCTTAACCACTGAGCTAAACTCTGCCCTTTTAAAATWTTTTATTTAGAGACAGGTTCTCACTAAGTTGCTTGGAACCTCAATAAATTCCTGAAACTGGCTTTGAAACTGTGATCTTCTGCCTCAACCTCTGGAGCTGCTGGGATTCCAGATATGCACCACCATGTGTGGCTTATGGCTTGACATAAATTTTTATTTGGACTTTTGGGAGAATATTTTACTGAATAAATTCCAATAAGTGAAGGAACAGTTGAAAGTTTTAATAGTTATCATCTTTAAAGTTTTTTTTTTTTTACCAATTCACATTATCCTTATAAGTTTGTAAAAGTATATTCCTCTCAAGTCATTATCAACAACTGTAAGTATTATCAGACTTCCAAAATCAGTAAATCAGGCAAAAGTTGATATCTTAATTTAATTGAATTTTTTTGATAATTAGTATGACTGAGAGCCTTCATCTTTTGCTTACCTGTATTTTTTTTTAAATCTTATTTTGAATGGACTCTTAATCTTCAATTGGGTTGTTGATTTTCAAGATCATTCATAAGAGTTCTAGGTAATATTAGCAAAATATACTTTGTTGTAAATATACTGCTGGCCTGAGCAGGCATGGTAGCACACATCTAGACCGAAGCAAGTTGGGAGGCTGAGGCAGGAGGATCTCAAGTTAGAGGACTACCATGGCATCTTAGGAAGGCCCTTTCTCAAAAAGAAGAAGAAAACACATTTTAAAAGGGCTGGGAATGCACCTCAGCCACAGAGTCCTTGCCTAGCACATGAGGAGGGCCTGTGTTTGATCCTCAATACTATAAGACTCTAATGTCCGATGTCCTCCTGTGTGTATCTAGTTTTCATATGCATGTGCTAATAAAAATCCTATCCCTAAATATCTCTAGGTTTTGTATTATGCTTAGAACAATGTTTTCCCCACATGCAATGTGCACATTCAGATTTTCTTTTTCTTTTTAGGCTTTATATATTTGGATTGAAATAGACTATATTTGTGTATTAAATGAGGAAAAGTTCCAGTTGTATTATTAGCTTTCCCAGATAAATAYCTAGTTGTGCAAACACAATCAATTAAATGTCATTTCTTTTTTCTCCTTTTGTTTAAAATGCATGCTTCAAATGCCAGTTTTCCTTTTACTCTTAAATCTGTCTCTTCAATTTCACAGAGATATTTGGTAGTGGGTCAGCTCACTGTCTTTTAAAAACTATGACTCTATAATACCTTTTAATCATACGGTCAAGTTATCCATATATATAACTGAGATCTTCATATTTTCAAGTAGTCTTTCATAAGCTAAATAGCCTTGTTAATAAAAATTAAGATGTCAATTAGGATTCTACTTACATTGTAAATTATTTTATGGAAATGACATTTTACCTACTTAAATATTATATATTTTATTGGATTCTTATATAAACATGTAGCTTATTTTCATTTAAATTCCTAGAACTTTATATATTTTATAGGAAAGATTTTTAGTTTTTTATTTCATGCCAAATTCAAGTTGATTTTGCTTTATTGAATATTCTAATTTACATGTGAAGCCTCATATAAATTTAGTATAATGCAGTTGAAAAATATGTTAAATCTTCTTACTTGTCCTATGAAGTTGCTGCCTATGAACATTCAAGATAGACAACCGGGGTGTTCTTTAATCAGAATGTTGCTGTGTTATGACTAATGTTACTAGCCTGTGCAATTCCCAACAAGGTCTTAAGAGCACGATTATAAGCATTCTTGCCTCTTTCGAATTGAATGGAAAGGATGCTTGTGTTTCACAATGAACTATCTATTGCTACTACAGCAATTTAGTATACTGAGTATATCCTCTTTTAAGTAGGTGGGAAATAAAACTTAATACATAGTATTTTCATGAATTTGTTTTACATGGTTCCATTTTAAATATATAATATGCTTATTTTAATTGCTCGATTTTAAATATGCAATGTAAAGTTAAAAATCAAGACTAAATTATAGGTCCCAGGAGTAGCTCAACAAAGCCATAAAATAAACAAAAAAATATTGAAATGTGAACAGTTTTGTTTTTTTTTTTTAAGAACAAGTACACTTTCAAATCAATAGCATCTCCCCAGTTTGCTTGAATTGACGGTGTGAAAGACCTGTAACTCTCCTTCCTCCCCTCCATGCCCGCCTCCCCTTAGCCACTTACAGAAGTTACCTTAAACCCTTCTACTAGCGAGCGGCTGGCCGGAGTCCGGTGGGAGCAGGGGGACTGCAGCCAGGCCACCAGCGGACCCAGCACTCGGGACCTGTCGCATGCGAGAGAGGCCAGGTAGAGTGCGTCGCCTCTGGAGAGCGCGTGTCCCCCGGACGGAGTGAGTCCCCCCAACAGAGAGTCTCCACCAGGGCGGCTGCCCCGCGCGGAGATCAGGGGTGCGGACCCCGGGGCGCTCGGGCGCCACCGCTCCAGGGCTGCAGTCGCTACCTTGTCTGCACCGCAAGCGCCAAACTTCTCACCCACCTGAGGATGTAGCGTCTGAACAACCGCCGAGCTGCAGCCCGGGACTTTGCGCCGCGCGCCCCGCAAAGCCCAGCAAAGCCCCGCGGGAAGGCTCTGTCCCGGCTCCTGCGCCCCGGTCCCCGCTCACTGCCCGCTCCGCAGACCGCTCGGCTCCGCGACGCCCTGCGCGATCTGATTCGCTTCCTCGAGGAAAGGGAAAAACCTGGAGGCGGGGAAGGGAGGCGGAAGAGGAGGATTTTTGGAATAAAAACAGAGTAAGCGCGCGGGRGATGGGGGTCGGGCGCGGGGCCAGGCGCTCCGCCAGGGTCGCCCAGAGGATCGGGTGCGCGGCTCAGGCCTACGAGCCCGCCCCGGGGTGCCTCTTCCTGGAGGGTGGGCGCCCTGCAGTGGGCACCACCTAGGGGTACTAGGCGATGGGAAATGAAGAAGGAAGCAAGTTGTCACAGGTCTCATAGGAGGTGAAAGAAAAGATAGGAGCCAGCCGAAGGTGGCCTCTGATCTGGAGAGGCAGGCCCGGCCCGGGAGAAAGCTTTGCTAAAGGAAAAAAGGAGAAAGCTGTGTTTCGCAAGTCTTTTGCATTTGCATTTGCTCCCGGCCCAGACCCCTGGCTGGAAGAGTTGGCCTTGGCAGCAGCAGCGCAGGGCTGGCTGGAAGCCCYGGGGCAAGGGGCCCAGGCATTTTCTTTTCCTTTTCACAGGATTGAAAGAGGCCAATCTGATCAGGGAGGAATGGTGGGGGGCACCAGGAAAGAGAAGAAATGGGAGCAAGATTGCTGTGTTTTCTGACATGAGAGAAGCATGCCATTTGTTAATTACCGTTGTTAGGCACAGTGGCTTCTTTCAGACTAATTAGATTCAGGTCCCTGGTGGTTCCTGGGGAGACCACAATTCAATGCTGGAAAGGGGTGGGTTGGGGGGAGGCACCCAAATGTCATCTGACCTCATGAAGAATCACAGCTGGACAGAAGTAAAATTGATTAAGCCCTGAAGAGTTTTTGGCACTGTTCCACTGCGGGAGAAGTTTGTGTAGGGGAAGGGATGTGGGTGTAGAGTTCTAGAATKTTTCATCTTCCTTTGCATGCAAGTTATTTGTTAGTGTTTGTGTTGGAACCCATTTACCAATTAATGTTGTACTGCCATTACTAATTTCAGGGGACATTTCTCAAGTGCATAAATGGGTTTTTGAAGTGTAGAACAAAGAAATTGGCCCTGAAAGCCATAGAAAAAAATTTAATAATATTTACTTGGTTTCTAAGTTCATAAGAGGAGCCACAAAATTGAGCTTATGAATGTAAATATGCATGGTGGCCACATTAAACATGCCCAAAATTTAAGACCAAAAGAAGTCTTGTGAAACATTGCTTTSGGGGATAAACAAATAATTGAAAATATGCCTTCAAAATCATACCTTCCAATTCACAGGTTTTGTGGGAAAGAAGAATGACTCACACCTGTCTTAAAATTGTGTGACCTGTTTGTCTTCCAACCTGCACACTTTCATGGATGACAAAGGTGGCATTTTTAGGTACCAATCCTATTACTTCTTTAAATTACTAATCTTTCCTATTCTCTTTCTTCCCTCCCCTGTCTGTCTATCTCTTTCTCTTTCTTTTGACAATTCAGTTAAATGTATGTTGATCACGTGAGTGTCCAAAAGACTATCAGGACTTTGTTTACATTTTTTTCCATTTTTTTCCTCTCTTTAAATTTAAATTATAGGTCTTATTTCAAGGTATACTGTTCCTGACAGGTAGACCTGTGGTACAGAATAGAGGACACAGAGACTAACCCACAAAATTACAATTATCTTATATTAGACAAAGACACCAAAAACATATATTGGAGAAAAGAAAGCCTCTTTAACAAATGGTGCTGGGAAAACTGGAAATCCATATGCAACAAAATGAAATTAAATCTCTATCTCTCACCATGCACAAAACTCAACTCAAAGTGGACCAAAGACCTAGGAATTAAACCAGAAACACTGTACCTATTAGAAGAAAAACAAGGCCCAAATCTCCATCATGTTGGAATAGCCCCAATTTCCTTTATACATCTTGGAAACAAATTTTTAAACCTCACACATCAGATAGAGAACTAATCTCTAGGGTATATAAAGAACTCAAAAARCTAAACACCAAAAATACAAATAACCTAATCAATAAATTGGTCAAGGACCTGAACAGACACTTCTCAGAAGATGATATACAATCAATCAACAAATATATGAAAAAATGTTCATCATCGATAACAGAGAAATGCAAATCAAAACTACTCTAAGATTTCATCTCACTTCAGTCAGAATGGCAGCTATTATGAATACAAACAACAATAAATATTGGTGAGGATGTGGGGAAAAAGGCACACTCATACATTGCTGGTGGGACTGCAAATTGGTGCAGCCAATAGGGAAAGCAGTGTGGAGATTTCTTGGAAAATTGGGAATGGAACCAACATTTGACCCAGCTATCTCACTCTTTGGTCTATACCCAAAACACTTAAAAACAGCATAATACAGGGACACAGCCACATCAATGTTTATAGCAGCATTATTCACAATAGCTAAACTGTAGAACCAACCTAGATGCCCTTCAGTAGATGAATGGATAAAGAAAATGTGGCATATATACACAATGGAATATTACTCAGCAATAAAAGAGAATAAAATCATGGCATTTGCARGTAAATGGATGGWGTTAGAGAAGATAATGCTAARTGRAGTTAGCCAATTCCCCAAAATCAAATGCCAAATGTTTCCTCTCATATAAGGGGGCTGAATCATAGTGGGATAGGGAGAGGAAGCATGGGAGGAATAGACGAACTCTAGATAGGACAGAGGGGTGGGAGGGGAAGGAACGGGGTATGGGGTTATTAATGATGGTGAAATGTGATGGACATTATTATCCAAAGTACAGGTATGAAGACASGAATGATGTGAATATACTCCATATACAACCAGAAAAAGAAAAAAAAGATATACTGTTCCCAATTTCAATTTGCTGGTAACTCTATGATAGATATTATACTTTCATGATTCAGGCATTGTTTGCTATTTGCAGCCTCCGGGTGTCTCAGTGAGATCCTATATCCATTCATTATGAACATAATTTTCTTTAAATTCTTGACCATATTTATAATATTTATTTTACTACCAGAGTCCATTATTTGTTTACTTTGGGTTCTCTTTCTGTGGGCTTCATTCGCTGTTTTTTTTTTTTTTTTTTTTGACAATGAGGCATAATTTCCAGTTTCTTAGGATATGTATTAGATTTTTGTTGTACACAGGACACTGGATAGTACATTAAGGGATTCTGACATTCCTTTCTCCACGAGCACTTATTGTTCTCTGGCAGACATTGAAGGCGCTTAACACACTTCACTTCTGGAACCTTCGTGTGCACTCGGGTAGGGCAGTCTGCAGAGGCCTGAAGGGGTTAGCAAGCTCCTCTGTCTGGGTCTAGTCTCAGATTCCAGTTTCTTTCCTTCATGATAGACAGGGATGGAAATCACTGCTCTGTCCTCTCAGCTGTTGCTTCCTGCTAGTTTCATTCATCTGACCCACACATGTTAATCGATATGATTTGATTCTCTGTCCCCCAAAGCCCATGGTGATATTGGGAAGTGGAAGAACATTAGGAAGTGGGAACTAGGGTAAGGAAGTTGGATCACTGGGGTTGTGCCCTTGATGAGGATATTGGGACCTGGCCCTCTCCTCTTTCTCTCTTGCGTCTCCACTGCCATGAGTTAAGCTGTTTCCTCTGCCATACTTTCCCATCATGATGTGCTGGCTTCACCAAAGGCCCTAAAACAATGAGCCACCTGACTGTGGACCAAAACCTCCCACACTGTAGGCCAAAAGAATCCTTTCCTCTTCTTAAGTTGATTATCTCAAGTATTTTGTTACAGTAATGGAAAGCTCATTAACACACTTGCACAGTTCGACATTCAGCCAAGGATTTGATATTGTTTATAGGCAAGTAGTGAGTTCTTCCCTCTATCTTTGTCCACTTGAGTCCCTCTGATGACGAGGAACCTCTTCACTGACATCATAGCTCAATAACTATAAACACTTTACTTGAGTTCTAACTGTCCTATGACCAAGGACTGGGAGAAAAACAGAACAATCATAGATTTTATTAGGTTTCGTTGCTTTTCTTTTTTTAATTGTTAGATGTTTTCTAGTTTCTGTCTGCTTTTGACTGATCTCCAGTGCCTTCAAATAWATTTGTTAGAATTTTTTTTCTAGCTTATTATTGTTTACTCTGGAGAGTTGTTCCAATATAAGCTGATATCATAATTGGAATTCACTAACCCCTAACCTTTTAAATCAGTCACTTCCATATAAACCAAAATGTTCAAAAGCACATTTTATTAAACAAAACCAATATTCACGATACATCTTTGGTTCCAAAAGAGAATGCATTTGTTCTTTAACAMCATAATCCTTTAATTTTTTGTAAGTAGTCTCTGTGAATGTTTTCTTCCTAAGACATCCATTTCTTGTGATGTTTTCATTTATCATGATGGCGGATCCCTTACCTTGAGATTAACTTCCTTAGGTTTATTGATTGCCTTCTAATATTTGTTCTGATGCATCTATAACGCAGTGAGCTGCCAATGCACTTCTACTAATGAAGCCTAGTTGAATTAAATTTGTTGACATATTCATCACTCATGTGTTATTTGCAATTAATTGAATCCCAATGTTAGTTAATTAGAGTCGGTCTTTCATTGTACAGTGGAGGMATTATAATTATTAGTATATGTTAGGTGAACTTTTACTTCCTAACTCAACACTTTGGTTCAGTGAGTTCTATATGTGAGGATGAGAAAACTGAAACTCAATGGCTTTTAACCAGAGTGTGTAAAGATGATAACAAGGTCAGAGTAGGGAGTGGAAGGAGAAAGGCATAGTGGGAGTCAGAGTTTGTCCAGCAACTGGAATAATGGCGTGGTGATTTTGTCATCAACCAGTAAAAAGTGAACTGTGCACAGTTTTCAGTGTTGATCCTCTATGCTATCCTCAAACCTCTCCATCAGGACACACTTTTTTTCCAACCAATAAGCATGAGAAGAGCACATGGACAATCGGAAACATTCCCATGTGGGTGCAGCTTTAGATAGGAACAGGATGCCAGCAAGGATGTGTTTCAGGGTATAGATTCTCCTAATTGCATTCCTCCTCATGGGTGGATTTGATACATGTTGTTATA